TTGTTCATACCGGAACATGCTCATAGTGGAACACGTAGGCCATGTAGTTGTGGTCAGTGAAGGGGTCATTGATGGTGACAATATCCACTTTGCCAGAGTTAAAAGGAGCCCTGGTAACCAAGGCCCCACCATGGCCCCATCTGTTTATTCTGGTGTTTGCCTTCACCCTGGTGTCAGGGACACAGCCGGTGCCACATGAGAAGATGCAGCAGTCTGTCGAACCAGAGGGGCAGAAGGCTGACTTTCCTGATTTTAATGATCAACCTTTTTTTTTTTTTTTTCCAGAAAATTTTATTTTGGTTATCATTTTCACTTCCCAAGAACTTTTCCTTATTTTCTAATTTTTTTTCATAGTACCCCATTCCTTTTTTATGGATGCTTTATCTTCTTTTCCATTGAGAATGTTACAGTTTTTTTGTTTTTCTTCAGTTTTCTGCGTTGTTTCTGTATCTTCAGGGTTCCTTTATTCCCTCCGTTTCAGGGTTGGCCTCTCATGTTGGAGACTTGCCTCAAGTGTCTGGAGGTTCTCAGGTATCTGTTCACACGAAGCATAAGACATACAAAGGCTGATGGCGGTGCTCGGGCATGCTCAGGGCTTGCTGACCTGTGAGGCTTCTTTGAATGGCGAGCGGATGGCCGACTGTCGGCATCTAGAGTTTCTTTTTCTAGGGCTATTCAATTTCTCAAGGAAGACCCCAATCCTCTACATAACTGTCAGCCTTCTGGAAGCAGGGCAGGCAAGGCTGGGGTGGTGGTAAGGACTGAGATTCAACTGCTCAGTGTCTGCAATTTTCCTTCATTCTCCCCTTTGCAGATTCTCCCCTTGCCCCCATTTTCCACCTTGCTGCGTGTTCGGGGTCTGCTGAAAAGCCCTGTCTAGTTTCTCCAGAGAAAACTCCCTAACTAGAATCCTTGTTCTGCTCTTGCCTCCCCTCCAGTCTATTTTTAGCATAGAGCTGGAGCAATCCTGTTAAAATGTGGGTTACATCAGGTCACACCTAGGCTTATCATTCTCAAAAGCTTTTCCATCTCAGCAGAGTTATACCCAAAAGTCATCACAAGGGTCTAGAAGGCCTTCTGCCCGGCACACTTGCACCTCAGATCGTTGACCTCTGACTCTCTCATTCCAGCTCACTCTGTTCAGCCATGCTGGCTGCTTACTGGACACATCCGGAGGCTCCTACCTCAAGGACCTGGCCCTTGCTCTTCCTTCTAGCCAGAATGCTCACGTTAGATATTCACACAGCCTGCTCGCCCTCCTCCTTCAGATCCTTACTCAAGTGTCCCTTCTCAGCAATGCCTTCCCTAGCTACCCTAAGATGGCAACCCCCACGCCCTGACACACAATTTACCACTCCCACCATTCGCTTTAGTTTTCCTCTAAGGATGATCCCCGTTGGATATACAATCATATGTATATGCCTCATGAAGGCAGGAATTCATGACTCCCCTCACCAGAGTTTAGAACAGGGCCTGGTACATGATAGGCATTTAACAAATATATATTGAAAAAAATAAGTAAAGAATGAATAAATGAAATGTTCCTTAAGTACTCTGTTTTCTTGTTAGTGAAAAAGCAGTAAGATAGGATAACAGCTTGTTATTGTGCTTTTTTTTTTTTTTTTTTTTTTTTTTTTTTTTTTTTTTAATGAAATGAGGTTGCTAATGTTTCTGAGGAAGATTTCATTGGGCCTATTCCATCATTAAAGGCAGGTTATTAAGATCTCCTTGCTAGGCAAATAAGTGACCTCAGGCTGTTAATTTGGATTTCATGAACAAATTAGAATTAGATTTAGAAATTAGCTTGTTAACTTGCAAATGTTAAGAAACAATAAATTGAAGAACATTAGTTCTATAATCACTAATATCACTAATTGCTTTTAAGGTTTAAAATGATGCCATTAGGGCTAAATGGGAAGACATTTTCCCTATAGAACCCAACCAGTTAATCCTGTTTCAAGGAATCTTCTTGGTGTTCAAACTAACAATCCAATTTAAGTGTTCCATCAGAAACACCCATAATTATTTCAGCTCAAGAGAGGATGCATTAACGCTACTCATAATATATATTACTATACTTGAAAATTACTTTTTAACACCTTCTAAATGAGTATTTGTACTTTCAGGTGGGTATTTCATAATTATCTTCTCATTTACGCAAATTAAAACATTTACTAAGCAAAGCATGATGTTTTCCAGCTCCAAAACGTACTGAGAGATAATAATCATCCCTCCAGTCATCTGAGACTGACAGTCATTAGCACTCACTGTAGTCATGGTCACAAGACTGCCTGCTGTCTTGTAACATCTTCTCCCTCAGTGTATAATGAAAAAGTTACTGTGGTGCAGGGGAAAAATAAAATGAAAGCATTAACCTGTCTTCAGTTTATCAAGCTTAAAGCTATATTTGAACTAAATTTAACAGAGTAACTCTGCTGAATTTGAATTCAACTTTAATGGAATACAAAGTATTCCATGTTCTGTTTCTTTAAAATAAAGGGTTAATTTAAACTTCATGGAACCACTTGATTGGCTGTTTAAAAATGTAGCTGTTTTAGTTTGAAACATTTCAATACAATGGACAGTAATGTCATTATAATTCTCTCTAAAATTCTAGAGCATTAAAAGAAAAATGCATTCTATGATTTTGCCATGTCTCTAAGACCATTCTGAGGAAACGGTAAAGACCGGGGTTTGAACTACTTAATTCTTTCCACTTGACCTGCCCAGTAACACACCAAGAGTTCTTTTTCCTTTTCGTTGTTTGTTTGTTTGTTTGTGTTTTTTTTGAGACTGAGTCTTGCTCTGTTGCCCAGACTGAAGTGTAGCAGTGGGACCTCAGCTCACTGCAATATCCGCCTCCCAGGTTCAAGCAATTTTCCTGCCTCAGTCTCTCAAATAGCTGGGATTACAGGCAGGCGCCACCATGCCTGGCTAAGTTTTTTTGTATTTTTAAAGTAGAGACAGGGTTTCATCATATTGGCCAGGTTGGTCTCAAACTCCTGACCTTGTGATCTGCCTGCCTCAGCCTCCCAAAGTGCTGGTATTACAGGCGTGAGCCACTGCGCCCGGCCTGAGTTCTTTCTACTTTTCTTAAGGTTGAATTTGCATTTTCAAATCTGTTTATGAAATCTTCCATGGAGCTTCATTTAAAATGATATTTCTTTGCTTCCTCTGCATCAGCAGGATGAGCAGCCGTCATTAATTCCAGGTCATGCATGCTGGCGATGGAGAGGGCAGGAGTGGCCACAGGAACCAACTCCTTCTACATGTGATGCTCTCCTTTTCAAAGGATTGCAGGATCATAAAAGACTTACTGCTCTCCCTATGCCAGTCACAATTAATCATCCTTTTGATGATCCGTAAAGCCCATCATAATCTTACGGGGGCTGTGACTTGAGTTTTGCAATTGATATCTGGAGACCTCTCTGCAGGTTGGGCTGAGGGGAGAGTGGAGAGTGGGAGAAGCATTTCTTGGAGAATAGGCAAGGATGAGAGGAGCAAGAGAGAAAAAATGCAATAGAGAAAATTTCACTTTAAAAAGCATTACTTAGATTGAAGGCTACATATGACATCCTAGAAATTCTTGAGCTCTGTGCAAATCATCGGGAAAATTGACAGAATGATGGCTGCTCTGAAAGAAGTTATTTTAGTATCAAGAAGACAATGTCAAGCCCTTACCAGGGGCTGCGAGTATGAAATTTCAGTTAGGGTCCACACTGAATAGGAGGCTACTTTCTCGCTCATTGTATATACTTTCCACCGATTCAGCAGCTGGAATGCAAGGCCCGAGCTGAATGGTCCTGCCAGAGTCTCTCTCTCAAAGGTCTTGCTCTTGAGGAAACAGTCTGCCTAGTCAGGAGTTGACACGCCTTGGCTTCCTGAACTGCCTGGCTGTGTGCAGTGTCTTCAGACGAAACGCGTGGACAACAGGGAAGCTTCAAGGCAGAACAGAGGGTCCACAGAAGGAGGGCAGGAAGTGAGGAAGACAGACTTCGTAACTCAACAATTCTACATCTAGGTCGACTCCAGAGCCCGTGGAGGTCACCACTACACCGTGATGCAGCATTCATTACACGCCAGCTGTGGCCAGGGCCACCCACATGGTTAAGTGCTTCTGCCCTGCACAAAGGGGCCTTCCAAGACGATGAGTGGGGCTGAAATCTAGCAGAGTTCTTCTGCTTGCCAAATGCTGGGCCCCAAAGCATGGATCGGGAAGGGGAACTTCCTCTGATTCATCGGCCGGAGGTGGTGCCTTCTTAATTCATCTGTGCAGAGGGACTCTTTTTCTAATTTGTAGGAAGGTGCTAGCTGGAGCCCTGGCTGCTATATGTAGTACCCTACATAAATGATCTCATTGAATCCTGCAACAGTCTCTCGTGTTAGACACTGTTATTATCTCCATTTTTACAAATGAGGAAATTTAGGTAAAGATAGGTAAGTGATTTAACCTGGGCATGGTGGTGGGCACCTGTAATCCCAGCTACTCAGGAGGCTGAGACAGGAGAATCACTTGAACCCAGAAGGCAGAGATGCAGTGAGCCAAGGTGATGCCTCTGCACTCCAGCCTGGGCAACAGAACAAGTCTCTGCCATTCAAAAAGAAAAGAAAAGAAAAGAAATTAGCTGGGTGTGGTGGCACATGCCTGTAATTCCAGCTACTCGGGAGGCTGATGCAGTGGAGTTGCTTGAACTTGGGTACCAAGTACCAAGTACTTGCCACATCAGGTACCAAGACAAAGCTGGGTCACTGCTTGACTCTCAGAGCTGAAAAACCTCACTGGAAACTGCTTAAAAGCTAGTTCAATAATTATTCCCATGATTTAATTCAAGCACTTAGTTTTGGAAGGTGAACAAATAAAGCCTCTTAACTTGCTACTTACTGTGCTAAAGTTTGAATGAATTCCAACAAACCATTTTCTCCTTCTTTTCCTTTTCTATCTATGCCAATATCTGCCAAATGCAACTTCACCAACCAAGGAGCAGCTTCCATCAGACCTTCAATTTTCTTCTTGATTCCTATAAGAAAATCAGAACATTTTATTATTTTTAGGCAATAGTTCCCTTGTTTATCACCAACTAAGCTGACTTTATTCTTTTAGATTGTACTTTACTGGGCGTGTGTGAGTAGATGCATTTTGCAATACAGTCAAGGAAATACTGTATATATAATTTTTTAAGTCCTTGTTTTATACTCAGTACATCCTTCCTTCTTTGGAACAAGAAGCCCCAAATTACTCTGCATGAAAGGAAATTCCATCTAAGATTTAGATTGTTGCCTTTACTTTGAAGAGGAAAACTGATGTCTCTAGAAATTTCCTGAAGGAAGATGAATGAGTTGCCCACTGATCTAGGGGAAGTGATAGTTTTTATGAAGGAATTCAGCCCTTTAAAGGAGCCTGAAAAGCTGTTACCCTTTTGAGCACTGAAAGAGAACATCTGAAGGAGAAAGGACCATCCTGCCTTTGTAGAATTCATGACTGGGTTCAGATCCTGGCGTTGGTTCATGCTTGTCAGTCTACACAGCTGTTGTAAAGAGTCTATTGTCAATCCTGGTCAACAGCATCAGGTCCACATTTAATTTATGTCAGTTCAAGTTTAGGAGGTTGGCAAAGAAAAATATAGCGGGGATGGATGGAAGAGAAATAATCATGGTCATAATGTGGGCTCTTTCACTCAGTAAGTACAAGATGGGAGGTCGGAATCTGCAGCCCCAAATTCAAATCTTTTCTGGGGGCCTACAAGTGTTTAAAGTTATATGCACCCCCTAAACACTAACCAACTACTTCATCTGGACCCAACTGAAGAAAGACCAAGTGATCTGTTCCAAAACTGGGGAAGAAACTGTGTGGGGACATGGAGATAATATGCCTAGATATTACAATGCGTGGGTAATTTGTGGAATTTTAAAGAATCATTTAACTCTACACTAATTTTGTCTGCCATGCTGACTTGAGAGCCTAACCCTGGGGCTAGACAAGACTTGAATTCCTTCAGCATTTACCAAATATTTTCAAGCTCCTGTTATGTGTCAGGCAGTGGTGTAGGTGCCAGAGATCCAGCAGAGAACAAAAGAGACAAAAGTCCCTGCCCTTCTAAAGCTGACATTAAGTGAATGTTAACTAGTATGGTTAGAGCAAGGAAGAGAGCAGCGTCAAGGAGAATCAAGCATTAAGTTTTCAAGCCTGGAGGGAAAACTTACTTTTCAGGAAAAGGAGATAAATGTGGACATCAGGCCTTCCTAGGTTGCCAGTTGGGGAAAAAGAGTAGAAAGTATGCTTTTTAAAAAAGGATTTGGTTGGTTTCTTTAGACATGAATCTAATCTGCTGGATTGTTGGATGAAATAGACAGGATTGGCCGAGTGTGGTCGCTCACGCCTGTAATCCCAGCACTTTGGGAGGCCGAGGCGGGCAGATGACTTGAGGTCAGGAGTTCGAGACCAGCCTGGCCTACATGGTGAAACCCATTTCTACTAAAAATAAAAAAAATTAGCCGGGTGTTATGGCTACTTGGGAGCCTGTACTCCCAGCTACTTGGGAGACTGAGGCAAGAGAACAGCTTGAACTCAGAGGCAAATGTTGCAATGAGCCGAGATCACACCAGTGTACAGTCTAGGTGACAGAGCAAGACTCTGTCTCAAAAAAAAAAAAAAAAAGGGAAAGAAATAGGCAGGATTTATTTTCCTTCAGAACACAGTTGGAGGGACGAATACTGGCCCATCCTTTGGTTTTATTAAGGGGAAGCCTAACTCGCCTAAATCTTATTTGTCCTTACATCCTAGGCATGGGAATGATAGCAAACAACAGCTGTCATGAATAACAGTGATACATTATTCATACTAGAACAGTATCTAGCACACGGTAGGTATTTCATAAATGTTTGTTGAATGAATCAACGAATCAATGACTAATAGAGTATAAAGTGCAGTCATGTTATGCAAACTGTATCTCACCGTTCGGTGCTTTTCCAAGTACAGTGTTGCTAATAATGCCTTGAGACCACTTGTGAACAGAATGAAATACGCTTTTTCTATTTGTAAAATCTCTTCACAAACAAAAATGCCTTTGAAAATGTAAGTTGACTGCGTGGAATGATGAACGATGTGGATACCGATCACATGTGGCATCCATTTCTTTTTGTCCCCTTCTGGCATGACAGAAAGCAGCAGTGGCCAGTGGAGCCACGGCCAAAGGCCAAAAGCTGAATTCCTTTACAGCTGCTCAGCTTTGTAAGGAAAGACACGGTCTTAGCTATCTATATCCCTAACTTAGCCAGTGTGGCACAAACGTGTGCCCTTGTAGAGGAAGGGAGTTCCAGGCCTGTGATTGGCCTGGTACAATTGCACTCCTGCAGAAAAAAAAAAAAAAAAAAAAATCAAAATCTCCCTCCAGCTGTTAAGACAGGTCATAATGTCATCTCCGCTCATGAAAAATAACCAGTTTGGAAAATGCTAGTCTAAACCACTCTCCAGAATCTAGACCTCTAATGAGTTACGGAGGCCCCGTCAGACAACAGGAAGGCCAGCATTGCTCATGACAGGAACTTCCTGCTCCAGGGCTTTCACCAAGTTCCAGCAAAACTGAATTCTTTTCTCTAGGTTGAAAACAAATTCCTTGGAGTAAGGGTGGGTATGTGCTCAGGCCCTGGTAATACTTGATACACCCAAGCTGTATTCACCTGCAACCAATTTTTACCTAATCTTACATTTCTTTACTTTGAAACAAAAACAAGCTCACCAACAATGACCATTTTCATTTACCCCCTCCGTCTGGGAGAACTCAGCAGTGGCACAGCTATGCCTGCTTGTGCCCAAGAGGCAGGGTGGTGTAGTGGGACATGGAACCTCCAGGTTTAAAACCTCTCTCTGGAAAACGCTAAGACTCCTTGGAAAGTCACCTGACTTCTCTGAACCCTAATTTCCTCTGGCAAAATAGAGATTATAATACCCATCTCTTAGAAGTACTGTGAGGATGGCTGGGACGCACTGTGAAATAGCGGTGGTGAAGACATGTAGTACACAGTTTTACTGCCTCGCTTACCAGCATCATCTCTGGATTTCATGTCACCAAAACACTGGACTGGGAGCCACCTGGTGAAGAATGTTCATGTGCAAGGCGTCCTCCCTTCTATCACTCTCTCCCTGGCTCAGGAGGACAGCGGCACGCCTTCCCTGGAAGCCACTCCACAGATCCAGGATGGACCCACCCAGCCTTCTGCTTCCTCTCATTTTCTCTTTGGCCAATTGCCAAGCTTCCCCAGTTGTCCTGGACTTCGGAATCTTTCTCACCACCCTCTTTTAACTGGCTACTAGGTCCTGTCAATTCTCTCCCTTCTAAACGTATTGAGACTCCATCTTTCCATCACTGTAGCCTCACTTTTTCTTCTCTGACCTGAACCAGTGTAAAAGCTTCCTGCTTTTCCTACTGCTCCCCTCTCATCCTTGACTCCCAGCACCACTCCTTCAGTGGACCTCGTCAGACACGATGAGAAGCCCTCTGATGTTGATGAGATCTGGGAGATCGTGGATAGACTGTGCCTGATGGTGGAGGGGAAGACAAACAATAGGACAGAGAGGAACAGCTCATTGGTGGAAATGCCTTCTCTGAAGGCCCGCAGGGCAAAGGTACCCAAAGCACGGTCGTCACAGGTGTTGATATTGTCATGAACCATCACTTGCAGGAAACCAGCTTCGCAGAGGAAGCCTACAAGTACATCAGCGGGACGCAAGTGGTTCATGCCTGTCATCCCAGCACTTTGGGAGGCTGAGGTGAGAGGATAGCTTAAACCTATGAATTTCTGACCAGCACGAGGAGCATAGAGACCCAGTCTGCACACACACACAAAAAAGCTGGCCTCGGTGATCACACCTGTGGTCCCAGCTACTTGGGAGGCTGAGGTGGGTGGATTCCTTGAGCCTGGGAGGTCAAGGTTGCAGTGAGCTATGATCACACCACTGCACTCCTGCCTGGTCCACAGAGTGAGACCCTATCTTGAGAAGAAAACAAACAAAAAAAAGAAGTACTTTAAAGATGACATGAAATCAGTGAAAGGTGAATTTGAAGAGGAGAGATCAGAAAGAGCAAAACTTTTTATGACAGGGCTGCAGAGCAAATCAAGCAATTTAAAAATCGCTGCTAATTTTAAAAACTACCAGTTTTTTTTTTTTTTTTTTTTTTTTGAGTGAGACGGAGTTTCGCTCTTGTTACCCAGGCTGGAGTGCAATGGCATGATCCCGGCTCACCGCAACCTCCGCCTCCTGGGTTCAGGCAATTCTCCTGCCTCAGCCTCCTGAGTAGCTGGGATTACAGGCACGCACCACCATGTCTAGCTAATTTTTTTTTTTTTTGTATTTTTAGTAGAGACGGGGTTTCACCATGTTGACCAGGATGGTCTCGATCTCTTGACCTCGTGATCCACCCGCCTCGGCCTCCCAAAGTGCTGGGATTACAGGCTTGAGCCACCGCGCCCGGCCCAGTTATTTTTTGATGAAAACATGAATCCAGATGGCATGGTTGCTCAACTGAACTACCATGAGGACGTATGTGATTTTCTTTAACAGTGGTTTAGAAATGGTAAAATATTAACAGATTTGGCAATGACTTTGAATCTATCACCTACCATCATAAATGGCTGCTGCTTGTCACCCACAAAACACCACGTCTTAAGATAAATGGGCCCTTCATTTATTTCAACTGTGATTTAGGAGGAGTGGAGGCCTTGTTTTTTGCTTTTTGTTTTCTTTCTTTTTTTTTTTTTTTTTTTTTTTGAGACGGAGTTTCGCTCTTGTTACCCAGGCTGGAGTGCAATGGCGCGATCTCGGCTCACTGCAACCTCCGCCTCCTGGGTTCAGGCAATTCTCCTGCCTCAGCCTCCTGAGTAGCTGGGATTACAGGCAAGCGCCACCATGCCCAGCTACTTTTTTGTGTTTTTAGTAGAGACGGGGTTTCACCATGTTGACCAGGATGGTCTCGATCTCTCGACCTCGTGATCCACCCGCCTCGGCCTCCCAAAGTGCTGG